CCACTGTAGACGCCATCATGCGCGTGAAGGACCTCACGACGGGGACTGCGTTGGCCAGGGGGCGAGTCGTCGTGGCGGTGTCTCTGGACATCGCCAACGCCTTCAATTCGTTGCCCTGGAGCTGCATTCTGGAGGCACCGTGTCCTCCAGGTGATCCGCACAATGGCGTGTCGTCATTGTGCGGATCACCTGGAGGACACGGTGGAGCATACGGTGGCGGAGTGCCCTGCTTGGGCTGAGCACCGCCGTGTTCTCAGGGAAGTGATCGGCGGCGGCGACCTCTCGCGCCCGGCCTTAATCGAGGCCATGGTGCAGCGTGAGAGGAACTGGGAAGCTATCTCCTCCTTCTGCGAAGCAGTTATGCTCGCAAAGGAGGAGGCGGAGCGCGTGAGGGAACTATCCTCCACGCGCCCCAGCCGCCGCAGAAGGCGACATTCCGGACGTCGGGGATCGAGAGATGATCTCCGGCCACCGTAAGCGCGGGTCTGCGGACGGCGAGTAAGGGTAGCTCGCCGCCCGACCAGAACCGGACCCAAGCGTACGGCGCGTAGCGTTCCGCGCGCGCCTCAAAGAGCCAATAGACCACCACAGTCGGGGCCCTAAAGGGCTGATGTTTAGCCGGGGCTGCGGGGTAAGCGCAATGAGGCACCGCGACCTCGGCCCAGAGCAGGAGAAGGAACGGGGGGGTTTTTAGTCAGTAAGAGTTTGACACTCTCTCTCGTCTTACCCTGGGCGGGAGAAGTCGTTGGATGATTTTCCCCTGACAAAAAAAAAAAGATCAAATTCGTTTTATAACCTCAACAACTATCGTTTACTGAATTAAATTCATCGAATGATCCAGCCAGATCATTGATAAAGGAAATTACTAATGACAGCCCGTTGTAATTCATTGAATTATAGAACTCTACATGGAATAGCTATAATCGTCAAATGAGAATATTTATTTGCATTAAAACCCCAAAAAGCGAATCTCAGAAGTCACTAAACACCACATATTGCGAGAAACAATTAATTAGTTAGTCAAGTAACTTTCCGTAAAATGTTGTTATCAAAAAATTTTTCAGTAAAACTTTATTATCAGAGGGTTAAAGATAAAATTAACGTGGAATAAAAATAGGTACTTGTATCAATTTCTATTGGTAAACCCTTGTTTAAAGGAACAACTTAAGATGGCACTGGCGTCGATTTTTATCTAAAGGATTTTTCGGATTAGGTTTGTAATCCAAGATTATCCTTTTTGTACTCTGTGGTACTTTTTGGGTCCGAAATCCATATAATGATAACGCTAGCCGCAATAGTTTGTAGATAAACATACTTGATATTAGGGTTCGTTATCAAATAATTCAACTGAATATGTTCAAAGGTTAAGGTATTTTATGTTTACGTATGTATTTTATATTAATATTTACTTGGTAAACCTTTGAAGATGGATAAGCTAGACATCTAGAACGGTTGAACTGGAATTTTAAAATGCGAAATTTGAAATAAATTATTGTAGAAACTATTAAGAAGACGTGAAGGGCTTTGCTTAGTTGAACTAAGATGGGAGATTTAGTTTAACTTTTTAAGGAATAGGAGGCAATTAATTTGACTTGTCACGTTAAGTGAATGGTATGCGAAATTTAAAATTGTAAATTCATTAGTGAAATTCAGAAATGAATGTATGCGATTATAGTACACATTTACCAAAATCTGTATCAAACAGAAGCAAATCATAAAACATGATAAATATTCCCTAAACGAGTTTTACGTATCCGCCATTATTCTCTATGGAACGATATAAAACAATATGGAATGCGAATAAAAAAGAAATATGGCACGAGACATTAATAAAATATTACTTAGTTTATTTTTTCTACAGTCACAAGGGTGTTCATAAAACAGAATAATATTCGTGGACAGTCACCAGACATATTAATTTATATTCATTCTGTATCTCTAGCTCCGTAGTTTAACGATCATTGAGTCTGGCTGGTTTTAGAACCAGGGATGTTTAGTCATGTGGCATTTTTAAATTCAGAACAAATTTTAAAACTTTAGCATTTTTTACAAAATGTGTCTACCTGTAGGTATGTTTTACGATAAATTTAATAAAATGTTTAGAAATAAATGTAAAAAAATTGCTATCAATTACTAGCTAGTAATTTAACAAAAAATATTTATAGATACAATATGTGACGAGTCTACATCATAAACTACGTAGGAAATTAGAACGTGGCTGGGAGGGACGACCTTATATTTTCTTTTGAGTACTTAAATATTATTTGCCTTAACTTATTGAACTGTTGCTTCTCTGGAGCCAAATATAAATGACACAAAAAAGGTGGTCCATTTTACTGACTCCTGAGTTAGGTGACATCTGTGTAGACAAAATACAGTACAATCGCCAAAGGCCATGGTTGACCATTTATGAAAAAATTTTTGCTTGCATGAGTTGACCACATGGCGATCCGCCCCTTTTCTATTTGACCAATTACAGAGAAAGGTCCATTTTTTACTAATGGGCCACCTTTTTGTTTACCCAATTTTATGACTTTCGAGTATCTTTATCCGGTTTAGGAACTCTTTTGTAGCAGACAATGAGATTAATAAAACATTTAATAAATATAAATAAAAAAAAACACTTTCAAATTTGTAGTGGAATTAAATTTAAAAATTGAGTTAGTTAACATTTAAAGTTGTTAAATTAAAAAAAAACTTTTTAATTTATATCTATTGCTAGTAGTTTTGTAACACTTATCACCGAGCCAATAATATTATGCTTTGACAGTTAAGTGATTGATATTTATTTTTAAATAAACATATTACGTATTATTGTATGTTAATATCGCACAGTCTGATCTCAGTTCAGTGACCTAGTTACTATCTTTATCTAGTTCATCGATAATCCATATGATGTGAGGATTATATTCTAAGATTACGAATAAAGTTTCGATTTACATTTTGAATATAATATCTTAGCTGTCTAGTTGCCCTCATTGGTTTCTACCGAACTATTGTACTAATAACTTAATAGGTTGTAGCCATATCTTTTAATAGAGAATTAGTTATAAATAGTACTCGTATATATGTTGTTATAAATAAATTTAGTAACTTAAATTTAAATGTGGGAGATCCGTGCGCACGAATGCGTCGGCTAGACCGGAGCGATACCACGGCCTCACAGAAAACTGGCGTGAAAGAACCACAGCGTTGTGTTTTGCCGTGTGAGTGAGGTTTCCGGAGGAACAATCCTTCCCCTCCCCTAATCCTTAAATCCACAAAAGGTCAGCAGCGCACTTATAAGTCTTCCGTTGTCCATGGGCGTTGCTGATTGCTTACCATCAGGTAATCCGTCTACTCGTTTGCCGTCCAACATAAAAAAAAAGTATTTCAACATTTTCCCAAAAGGGACCAAAATAGGATCGGCCAGTACCGATAGGCATGCACGAACAATTTGAAGAATGCGATTAAACGTGTAGGAAGTATGCCGGACGTTTGGCGTTTTATTGTAGGTACAATAGGGAAAAGAATGTTGAAGAGTCAAGTGAGTGTGTGTGTGTGTGTGTGTGAGAGAGAGAGAGAGAGAGAGAGAGAGAGAAATTAAAGCAGTTTTTGCAAAAGTAAGGTTCCGCACATTTCACGGTCTCACTAGCTTTACTGTTAGGTTTGCAGGTACGTCGCCGTGTAAGTTCGTTCACCATTTCATATCTTTTATTTTTGTTTGACGTTCCTGTGCCTGTGTACGTAAAAGGGCCTGTTAGGGTCTAATTGAGATAAATGATTTTTGACTTTTCTACCAACGGTCCAGCATGAATTGGAACCGGGTGGTTTTTTGTCAGTAAGAGTTTGAGTTTTGTTTTTAAAAACAGGAGTCATTTCTCAGAAAAATAAAATTATAAATTTCAGCTAGAGTGTTGCATTTTATAGTCTTTGACATACAATTTCAAAATTGAAATGTAATCTTTCGTTTACTGTTATTCTAAACGATAAAATAACTTATAATTATTTACATCTTATTTGCCTAAGGGCTGATTGTTCAATAGTCAGATAAATTTTATCTGAGGAATAAAATTATTGCTGTCACTGTCTTATACAAACATTGTGACGCGAAAGCATCATAGTTATTCACCAGTTAATTTTTTATCTAACCATTGAAAAATCAGCCCTAATGATTTATTTTGTCTAAAACGTTGTATAGCAAATACTAGCCACATCTCTTACATGTCAGTAAGCTAAGATAAGTTTACGATCAATCGTGAAGTTGAACCCTACAGCAAAATTTAATATATTTATGTAATCCTGTCAAAGGTTTCTGATATCGGACGACGATAAACCAAGCCTGGCTTATATGCGACTGGTTCACTTATGTTTTGAAGACACTCAAGTTGAACCCTTCTCAGGAATACATTACTATTAGAGTCGGAAGACGTCTACCGTTAACCGTAGGTCGCTTCCATTCTGATGACTTAGAGGTCGTTGGATCAATGTCCTTTTCTTTTTTTGAGAGGAGAAATCATTAAATTTCTTCTCTCACCCACTGCGAGGCGAGTAGGAGTGACAGAGTCTTACTGACTAAAAACCCTCCCGTTCCTTCTATTGCTGAAGACCGAGGTTGCACTACCGTAATGCGCTTGTCCTACAACCCCAGCGGAGGTCAATGTTTGACAGAGGACAGTTATATGTTTTGATGTTTGATTTTATGGGTTAGAGGTTAATGCGCCTGCTTCTTATGCCTAGCGATGCCGGTTCGAGACCTGGCAAGTACCAATGTGACATTTTCCGAGTTATATGTACTTTCAACGATTATTTAGACACCACTGACGTATGGAGAAGGAAAACATCGTGAGGAAACCTGTACTTATAATTTGTAATAGGTTTATAATCGCCGCCAATCCGCCTTGAGCAAGCGTGGTGATTAATGGTCAAACCTTTTCAGTGTGAGAAGAGGCCTTTGCTCAGTAGTGGGCAACTTATATGTACATATGCTGATGATGTGTTATGATAAGCAATTGACTTACTTGAAGTAAAGGAAGACGAACACGGCGAGCGAGAGCACGGCGAGGCTGAGCGAGTAGCCGGCGAGGTAGATGAGGCTAGTGACGTCAGTTGGCGACACGTTGGTCATACGTTCTGTGCAGTTCGCGTAGTTTGAGTAATTGTGCCACACGCCGTCCAAGCACATCCGTGATGCGTTCTCTGTACCACAAATTATAATTATTTTAATAAAGTTAGACAGGTTATTCATCATGAAACAATCAAGTGTGTTTGGCCATGTTTATACCCGAATTTAAATATATATCACTGCTACTGTTGAGATTTAGTTTAATACCAATAGTATAAAATCGAACCTCGAATAACCTTTTCCAAAATTTAAATATTAATACGTAGATTAAAATGTATAATGTTATTTAATATTTAACCCTGTATATTGTATGGAAGTAGATTGTATTACATTCGGCTAGTTATAACTTTGTTTAAAAGTATTTGTTCAGTACGTTTAACATCTGCAACTCTCTGTATAGTTTCAAAATAATGACACGATACTATTAGGACAACCCTATTGGGAAGTTCTATGGTAATTTGATTACGTAAAGAACTGAAATTTAGTTCTTTCTCTCTTTCTGTCTCTCTCACACACACACACATACACACATACTTTATCCTTCCTTCCAAGTAAGGATGGAGGGAGGGTAAATATGACGTGTGTTCGTAACACAAGTGTAAATAACACATTCCCAATATCCAATAAATAAAATCATATTCTCGATGCATTCGTGCACGAAATATTTCGAAAGATTATCAAAGAGGATTTGCTAGCGACTTGTTTGAACAATATTATTCAGAAAACGAGATGGATGGATTTTCTGCGAGATTACGTTTTTTTTAATATCTCAAATGCTTTTATCTTTTTCTTTCTGGTGTACGCCGAGAAGTTTTTAAGTGTTTTTGTTTTTTTTTGTATTGCCTTTGGATTGTGTCAAGAGTGTAGCCGCAACAATATTTCAGGAATTCGTTTCGCAGACGCAATGGAAATGACGAAATATTAATTTGTTTTGTTTATTCCTTTACGAGCCATTAAGGTAAGTTTTAAGATAATCCTCATGTAAATTAAATTCTAATCCAAATTGTTTCAGATACAAGAAACGTGCAACTAAATTCAATGAAAAGAAGCTAAAATAAAACAATGAATTCCTACATACATTTCTCGATCTTAAAAACAGAAATAAAACTAAAATCATGGCTCAAAGCAACTCCCACTTCAATAAAGCACATCCCTACTCCGTTATGTAAAACTTAGAGCTGCGTTCAAACGCGGCAGTTATTATCGTTGCATTTAACACTAGGGTTGCCACAAAACTATCTATTTTCAGAACAAAAGTAACGATACTGGTGTAACAGATATTTTTTGTATCGCTTTTGTTTTAAAGATGTTTTAGTACGCTTCACAATGAGATATTTCTTGAAAGCATTTTGTAGCAATTATAAGAACAGAATGGGAGTTCTAGTTGTTCTTTTAAACCGACTTTGTTTTGTAAGTTTTTAGTTGCCGTTTTGTCGACAGTGTTTTAATTACGAAATAAAAAGTGGTTTTGATTCTACTCATGATTTTGTTTGTTATTTGTATATTGTGTATTGTGCATACTTATTTGATTAAAACAAATTTAGAATTAATTCACTTAAACGAGGTTGCTTAATTTTTTTTCAGGCACATTTCTTTCTATATGTGTTGCGCTATTGTGATAATAAATACCTTCATTTTATCTGAATACTAAATGTATAATATCGGAAAAGCTTATGACCTTGAAGTCAAATCTGAAACACCATGTCCTTCGAATTTTTTTTTGGGTTGTGCCAATCCGTGTTCTATATATTTATTTTTTCCATTATAAGTAACATAGTGTGCTACACAACGCAATGAGTGTTACGCCAAGTAACACTAAGTCATGAGTTTGAACCTAGTCGATTTCCTTGTCGAACAGTTTCGTGAGTTAGCCGTTAAAGATAATCAAATATATGTATAATTATGCTAAAAAAGTTTTGCTGTCAACAATGAAACAAAATAATAGGCTGACCCATATAGAATGAAACCAATAATTAATCTTAAGAAAACTTCTCAGTCATTTGTTAAAATGAAACTCCTATTCAAACAATAATAACTATCTCTATGTAAAAGATAGGTCTTTGTGACAGAAATAAGGGAAATGTAAAATTGGTTACGTAGCACACCTACGTAACCAATTTTTTATGTCTAGGAATTTAGAATGTCTAGGAAGTATTTGAGAAAAAAGATTATTTAATCTACAGTATTTTGTCATATATCTAGGTCGGTTTTGTAGGTATTTGTTAAAACTATGTGAGTATAGTTGCATAAAAATATTCAGTTGTGAACTGACAAAGTATGTATACCCAAGCTTGGCATGAAAACTGTGGTAATTTTCCTTTCACAAAAATTCGGCTTACAATTTAGAGATTTTCAACAAAATCCTTCAACAGATCCATCGACGAGACGTGTCAGCATTGTTTACATACATCATTAAGAGCGGCGTAATAAAAGGATTAGAGATTAACTTACGTGTGTCATCGTACTGGACGCCGTGGAACTCGCTGAAGCAGCGCTGCACCGCCAGCGTGTTCCAGGGCGTCGCGTCCCAGCACAGCAGCCCGTCGTAGTACGCGGGGCAGAACTCCTCCTCCGCGAGCCCCTCGTTCTGCGCCAGGCATTTCTCCACCTTTGCACTGACATTGTCTACAAGGTCCGTATCTAAAGTCTTTAGCTCCTCCAGTTTGGCGACGTAAAATCTCTTTCGACTAGGAATTTGAGCTAATTAGCTTTGGTTTGCTCTTTGGTATATCTACTAACACTAATCACACTGAACAGTCACATCAATCGTCACTTTCACCGGTTTATCTGTGTCCAACTTCCATCGCGCCATCCGCTGGCGAGGGAATAAGCAGTGTGGGCCTCAGGTGTGGTGTTTGGCGCGGCCGAGCGGAGCGGAGTCTGAGCTGCTCCAAGTCTCCGGTAAGAACGTTACCATGATAACGTTGTTTGCTCGCGGCTTGTGTTCTAACTTATCAAGTGATAACGTTCCGAGAGCAAACATCGGCAGTCGGTGCGAGTATTTGCGTATCGTGCAAGGGACTTTAGTTTTTAATTTAATTTCCTTCGCCCCATTTAAGCCTTGATGTCCGTGCAACCTGCAAAGAGACGCCTTTGGTCATGTTATCATGTAGATAGAGTAGAATAAACAGCATTATTACACTTTTATATGAGTTATTATTTGATGGAGTTGTAATATGGTCTCAGTATTCAAGGAGCGTGCTACAGATAACAAATACGCTGGCACTATCGCCGTTTCATGTGTAACATAAATATTAAGCAAAAGGAATAGAAGTGTTTTGATTGCAGTAATTCAATGTTCTTATCTACGACAGAGATATTTAATTAAATAATTGTTCCGACGTTATGGGGCCACATTATTGGACGGAGCGGTAACTGCTGCCGCCGCGGTATTTAGGTCATGGGTTCGATCAGACCGGCCAAAAAGTAATTAGGTTTTCCTGGCGATAGAATTACTTCAATATGGGTCACCTGTCTGGGTTAACACTGATAACTTTTAAACAGAGGGCTTGAATGAAAGTAGGTGCGCAGTAATGAGTTTATTCACGCATCAAAACGTTATAAGCATAATTATGCAATTACGACGGTGATAATAAATTAACTTTGCGTACAATACAGTATAGGTACTATATACTTCTATTATGCAGGAATGTGGAATTCACACACACACACGATACGCTCAATTAATTTTAATCAGACGGCAAATAGTACATTTATTAAATCTCAAGTTAGACGCTAAAACGTTTGCCATGTAAATAAAGGCTACAGTACAAAACCACAAATACATAGAAATAATCTTAGAAGCCAGTTTGAACTGGTTTAATGAGCTGCTCTTTAAAATAGTTTATTTTTAGATTTTTGGCCAGCTTTTGTCAATAAAAGAAGATTTAAAAAATACTTTCATTTTATGTGTTAACAGAATTCCACGGTATTTGATCCTTCTTAGCTTTAAATGAATCGTTTCATCGTATTTAGGAAATAAATATTTATTTGTTGATACACTTGTACGATTTCGGGGTGGAAACCTTTAAACAGCATTTAACTTTTGGGCAAATTTAGAAGTCAGTACAGTATTTTTTTTTTTAATCAAAGCTGCAATAATTCGTCTTTTCTATATTTCACTTCTAGCTAGTGCATGTACTACATGATCATGTCCCTATGATACATTATCGGCTGCGTTCAAAAACTACGATCTCGTGAGACACGTAGGAATTCCCAGTCAATGGCATTCAACCACTGTTTTATGTACATTGTTAAGTGATCTTAAACTTTAATTGTAACTAAATAAGAGTTATTTTTTGTTCATAGTAGTATTTAACATTGTCGATGATGATTTTACAGACCTGATACGTGATCAGTGTTACGCAGATGTATTGACGTGGGCTGATTAATCTGAGATAACAAGATGCATATAAACGTCTAATTCATCCATTCCATTTCGACAGACGGTATGCAAGTAATTGGGTAACGTCTGATATTAATAGCTGATCTTAATACAAAATCTTTGAATAAAGTTTGATTCATACTCCAAAATTTAAGTGTCAAAAATTAAGCCGTAATAGATTTTTGGAGTTGCAAAATATGAAATATTAGGGCCCCGCTCAGAGACGGAGATAGAACGGGGTTGTTTTTAGTCAGTAAAAGTAATTTTTTATCGACTTGCAGACTTCTTCTTTCTTTTATTCTTCCAATTCAGGGAGGAAAAATTCATTACTTACATGATATTTTCCTATCTAACAAGATTTTGGTATTAATATTGGCATAATGACCTATTTCTATTCATTCTGATTCTGTTTATCTATGATTCCTTTTAAATAATAATTATGGTAGGTACAAACACTTTTCATTTTAATTTTTCATTCTGTTGTTTTCGCTCGGTTATTATTAACGAACCTAGTTAGTGCCTTTTCTGGGAATAATATTATTTTACAATGTTTTACATACAACCCTTTATTTCATGGATTATGATGTAACGTTAATATTTCGCTACAATTCATTGTAAAAGTGAAACGAGGTTAAAATCGTTTCAGAGATTTTTTTATTACTTGACTAAAGTGGCGCTCCCTGTGTCGTTGCGAAGGGAGTTCGATATGATTTGTTCCGTTAATTTGCGTTTTATGTACATTATATATAAATTACTAATCAACAATACAATTTGTTAGCTATGATTTCTGATTAATAAATTGCGTGTGTGAATTGACTTTGTTGTTTGTTGTTACCGCAGGAACCTTATTATCCTCTATCCCCAGTCCCATCCATATCAATATCCATAGTCTGTTCGTTTGCCAGTCCATCTCATAAAACATGTACTTCTCTTAAACTTCCACCCCATAAAAAAATAAAATATAATAATACCTAGTTTCCTATTCTACGATAGTGTTTTAAATCATAAAGATTTGCAAGATTGTGAGGCAATTACTGAAATCTTTATTCATTTTCTGCACGATTGGCGCGGTGGCTGGGCAACTGGCTGCCGTGCAACGTGTCGCGGGTTCGATTTCCGCACCTAAACTTGAAACAACAATTTGTAGGTCACACAAACTGTTGTTCCGGGTCTGGGTGTGATGTGCATGTGAAATTGTATGTTTGTAAACGCACCCACGGCATAGGAGAAAATGCTAGTGTTAGGTAATGTCTTCTTTTTTAATTGCTTGAAGACATAAGAAGTTTTGAAACACAACCTTAAATAAGATTCCATTTGGTGTGCCTATTAGACCAGTACTCAAACGGGCAACCTCTAAACTAAGACAGGTATTTAGTTTAAATAAATAATAAACACATACATACGAATGATACACCAGTACTATTTTGAAAGTTCAATGACATCTGTATTTTAATTCTGGCTACTGATACGGCTGATTGATTTATACGTATTTATTTACAGCGTGATAACAATGTAATGGGGGACTCAACATAAATCATTGAGTCTATAAACTCAAGTGTGTAAATTTGTTTATTCTAGTTTAATTTTTAAATATATAGGTTATATTTTTAGTTGTGGAAGATTTATAAAAAAAAACATGCTGTATGTATGCATTTTTGACAACTGCTGTGTAATGTCATCATCAATATTACGTAATATAAGTAGAATTCATTATTAAAAGTAGACTGTTCTAAATAAATAAACAATGAATAAAAATGTCTTTTAGTTTTATTACACTTACACAAATTTAGAAAGACGTATCTTTTTATATCTTAGCGACATATATATACATAATATATATGTATTGATGTAATGTTATAATTTGGGCTTTCCTTCAAGGTAATAAACCAAAAACGTATGCAAAATATTATATTTAATTTCTATTTTATTAAGTTCTTAAAATTAGAAATAATTTTGTAAGCGTTAGGTATTGGTTATAATCGTACCTAATGCTAGACCATCGAAACAGTTTTTTTTGTACTAGTTTTAAAGAGCTGTTTTCTCTTTGTTTATTCGTTTGAACGCGCTAATCTCCGGAACATACAGGTTTAAATAGAACAGTAATTGTTGTGTTTGTTAGTCTATATATCGAGTAAGGCTATAGGATATAAAACATCACGCTGAAGGAGCCGAGCAGCGGGCAAAAGCGTGCGAGAGTAGCTTGTTACTAAATATGTTGGTGTAACAAAACGGATTTGTTTTAACCATGCTTGTTATTTTAACGAGAAAAGTTTCGAATTCGCTAACAAATAGAGTACGCGAGCATTTTGATACAGGCACTGTTTCAATTTAGAAATATACATACATATGTATATTGTATATACATACCTATATGCTTGCTCTTTTTTCAACCGAAATACTCGTACGGATTCCAGTTAAAATGTTGATTTAACCGGTCGAATGATGCCCTCGGGATTTGGAAAAAATCCGTTTAACTCACTACCGACCCTTGCCAATAATTTTCTAAAGGCCTATTAGGAAATATATATATTTTTTTGGCAATTGAATTAGTTTTCTGTTTTTAGATGTTAGTAGTTTTATACCTCTGGTGGACTAAATTCAATTTGTACTTTGAAAAAAAAATAGTGTTTTAGTCTTGACAAACAAAACTGTTTTCAAGCAATTGAAAACGAAGGAGAAGCCTAAAAATAATGACTGGGCTAGACGAAATAAGAACCTATTTTTTGTGTTGTTTGTTCCACAATACGACTGCCAAAGAAAACAACAAATAACAATTATTTGGTGCAATTTCACGTAGATGATAATCATAAAAACAAGATCGTAAAACATTTTAGTATTATTTTTATATAATATATATTCATAATGTTCATACAAGAGCGAATGTCGACAACCCTTAAAGATCAGAATTTCAATTTAACATTCATAACGAGCGGCTCATGATTGCCAATCGTTTAGATCAAAAAACACATCACAAAGGCAAAGAATTAAATATTCCAATATTCCTATGTTCCGTTAAATTCTCATACTAAAATATATTAGCGAGACATAAGAATATTATTACGTAATACGTTGTTTACGAATGTTCGCACAGACATCGAGTTCACGCAAAACGATCAAATATTAAAAAGATTTTCATTTCTCGGGAGACAATTTGTTGTTGTGATATCGTAACAAAGGGAATAGGCGATATAACGTGGAAAATAACTAATTCACAGTGTAGACGGTCCGATGTGGAATTTCGTCGTGTTTCCGTCAATTTGTAAGGAAATTGCCATTCGCAAGTCGGCAAACAATTGAAATATCCTCATTTTTATTGGTTTTATTTCGACACTCCTTGGTTCGTTAAAGACATGTACTTGTAGGTCACAATTATGACGTCAACGCTGTTTGGTGTTGATATTATTTTATGTTACTTCGTTCGTGCATTTAAGAAGATTTACGTAGCGGTCTATTTTACTGTGTGCGTGTGTGCTCGTCTGTACTTAGACGAGAAACTCCGTAGTAATAAATGTCTACTACAAGTTTTACTAGTGATAAACAAAATTGCCTTTGGAAACGAATTCTAGAGCCTTCAGTCGATGCCAGTATAGTACTCTTTATTGCATTTCCTGACTGTTAGTATTTCAGTAATAAGGACGAGAAGTATATTTTTTTTTATTATCGATATATTTTTCATGTTCATTGGAATACTGG